TTGTCATTTGCTGTGCCAGTCATTGATGGGTTTTATTTTAGGCCTTGAAGTTGGGGTCCAACCATCAATTGATGTTCTCCCTTACAAGCTTGCGTACAGCTCTCCAAAGCTATGAGAGCTGGCCTTTAGGGGAGGTGACTTCCAGGTCAGTTCTAAATCTATTTCTCCCATCCTTTGTCTGAACTATGTCCTGTCTTCAGCAATAGGAAGGCAATCAAGAGCTGTTGCAATAGCCTGTGTAATTTCGGGAGTCTTGGCCAACAGCTCAAAGGAAGATTTCTCCTGTCTGGCACTGTTTCTTGTTATGTAGCCTTCAGCTATATACATTGACTCATGAAGAGAAATTGTATGTGTAATTTTTCAGTAGGTTTTTGGACTAATATGATTCCCTCTGGATTTTTATACTAGCTAGGCATTATTTATCTCTCCTCTTTCCCATCTAACCCTCCTTCCCTGCCCTCCCCATTTTCCCCATTTGTACCTTGATAATCCCTGTCTATTATGGTCCCATCTCCCTTGAGCTCCTTCTTCCCCTTTATGCCCATATTTCCTTATATAACCTTCCTTCTCCCCGTCCCATTTAAATACCCCCATTTTACACATTTCTCCCTTAATAACAACCCATCTCCTACTGTTTTTCTCTCTCAAGTTCCTTTGTTCCCTTTACCTCCTAGGTTATTTTCCATTTTCCTGATTCCTGTAGTCATATCAGGATATATACTCATATATAAGGATTTGGCACTAGAATCCACAAATGAGAGAGAACATATGCCATTTGTTTTTCTGAGTCTGTGTTATTTCACCTAATATAATAGTTTCTGATTCTGTCCTTTCACCTGTAAATTTTATGATTTCATCTTTCTTTACCACTGAGTAAGACTCCATTGTATAAATGAACCACATTTTCATTAACCTCTCATTCATTGTGGGGCACTTAGATTGCTTCTGTTTCTTAGCTATTGTGAAAAGACCAACAACAAAATGGTTGTACAAGTGTCTCTGCAATAGGATGAGTCCTTGTATATATGCCAAGGAGTGGTATAACCAGGTCATATGATAGGTTCGTTTTGGGGGTGTTTTTTGGTTTTTCCTTTTGTTTTGGTTGGGTTTTTTTTGGTCTTATATTTGAGACAGGGTCTCCCTGTAGCCCCAGCTGTCCTAGAACTCACTATGTAAACCAAGCTGCCCTCAAAGTCACACAGATCCACCTGCCTCTGCCTCCTGAGTACTGGGAGTAAAGGTATACGCTACCACGCCTGGCTTCATTTTTAGTTTTCAGAGTTCTCCACACTGCTTTCCATAGGGGTTGCACAAGTTTGCAGTCTACCAGCAGTGAATGAGTGTTCCCCTTTCTCCACATCCTTGCCAGCATTTACTATCATTTGTTCTCTTGATGATAGTCAGTCTGGCTGGGGTAAGATGAAATCTTAAAGTGGTTTTAATTTGCATTTCCCTAATTACTGACGATGTTGAGCACTTTTTAAGATGTTTCTTAGCCACCTTTATTTGTTCTTTGGGAACTGTCCAGATCTTTAGCCCATCTTTAATTGGGTCATTTGTTTTCTCAATTCTTTGTTTTTCTTTTAGTTCTTTATATATTCTGTATGTTAAACCTCTGTTAAATGTGTCATGTGAAAATTTTCTTTCACTTTGTGGATTTTCTCTTCACTCTCTTGGTAGTTTCTTTTGCTGTGCAGAAGCTTTTTAATTTAATGAGGTCCCACTTGTTGTTTGTTGACTTTACTTCCTGAGCAACTGGTGTCTGATTTAGAATGTCATTTCCTACACCTATATCTTTTAGGTTATGGCCAGTGTTTTCTTCTAGCAGTTTTCAGAGTTTCAGATTTCACATTGAGGATTTTAATCACCCTACAAGGTGAAAGATACCAGTCTAATTTCACTCTTCTACAGGTGAAAATCCAGTTTTGCCAGCACCATTTGTTGAAGATGCTGTTTTTCCACCATTGTGTGTTCTTGGCGCCTTTGTCAAATATCAGGTGGCTGAAATTGTGTGTACTCATGTTTGGGTCTTTAATTGTGTTCCATTGATCTATGGGCCTATTTTTGTACCAGTACCATGCTGTTTTTGTGAATATGTTTCTGAAATAGAGTTTGAGATCTGGTGATATAGTAATTCTCTCCAGTGTTGCTTTCTGCTCAAGCTTGCTTTGTCTATCCAGGGTCTTTTTTGTACTTCCATATGAATTTTAGGACATTTTTTTGTAATTCTGTGAAGTGTATGTCATGGGGATTTTGATTGTGATTGCATTGAATCTATATATTGCTTTGGGGAGGATGGTCATTTTCACAATGGGAATTCTTCCAATCCATGAGCATGGGAGGTCCTTCCATCTCCTGGTGTCTTCCTCAATCTCTTTCTTTAAAGATTTAAATTTTTCATTATAGAGAACGTTGATGTTTTTGGTCTGAGTTGTTTTTTTTAAAGCTATTGTGAATGGGAAGGTTTCCCTGTACTTTCTCTGATTGCTTGGTATTTGTATTAGTACATAGAAAGGCTACTGATTTTTGTTTTCTTTGAGACAGGGTTTCACTATGAGGCCCTGGCTGGGACTAAAGATGTGCACGCCACCTTGGCTTTGAGTGTTTTCTTCATCCCCATTAGCCTGATAAGCAAGCTCCCAGGGAAAGGTGGCTGTGTGCAGGGTAAGAAGCAGTTCCTGGGTCTGCCCTCAGGGACCTACACCACACACAATCCTGTGCCCATCAGTCCTGCCAAGGGGTCACATAATGCATGCCCGGAGAAGCCCAAATAGGCCCATGTGGCAGGCTCAGAGTGGATGGGGAACAAACCAGGACCAAGCTGCTGCTCCAGTAGGTTTGGAGAGAGGGTGGGGCTGGGGTGGGAGCATGGTAGTGCCAGGCCGGCCAGGGTGTGAGCGGCCCACAGTCTGGATCTCCAGGGTG